CAGAGACCCCCTACTATCCACTTGTCTGGAAGAAACCAGAAACATAACAAGAGGAAGAAACAAAAGAAAGTCTCCAGTCTACAAACCAAGCAGTACTGGCCCAAGAGAGGTAAACACAGAACAGATTGGGGGTTGCACACCTGCAGTTTCTGAAGAAGCAGGATCTGATATAATGAACTATCTTTGTGACATTATAAAAAAAAATTAAAACAGAAATATTAATATAACTAAAGGAAGGTATAAGAAAAATAATAAAAGAAATGCTAAACATCTCTCAAGAAGACACAGATGAAAGAAAAGAGGAGCACAGAAAAAGGAGAGAAACCTTCAATGAAGAATATGAAAAAAAATCTAGAATACATGAAACAGATTCAAACAGATTACCAGGAAATTAAAAACTCCATTGAAGGCTGGCAAAATTCCTTGAAAGAAACTAAAGGTAGACTATCAAACCTTCAGGACAGATTTGCAGCTTGCATTCATGAAAGGAAAGATCTCTTAAAAATTAAAAGGAACCAAGAAGTAACAATACAAAGGCTAGAAGATGACAAGAGGATTTATAACTTAAGAATAAAAGATGTGAGTGAAGAAGCAGGGGTAAACACAAATGAAATACAAAGGCTAATTACAGAAATAATTAAAGAAAACTTCCCAAGCATAGGAAAAGGAAATGATATTGATGTATGAGGCATGCAGAACTCCAGCCACCTACAACCAAAATAGATCTATACCCAGACATAATAATCAAGATCCCAGAAATTTGGAGTTTCAAAAATGGTAGCTTGCTAGGGGGTTGGGTGGAGAGTCTCTGTGGAGAAATCAGATTAGATGCTAGAATATGACAACATGGAGAGAGCCAGATGAATGGATAATGATTCTTATTAACCAAGGTGGTAACCGAAGGGAAAAATAAAACTAGGAAAAGGAAAGAAAAGAGCAGATGGAGAGCTGAAGCCCGATGTACTCATTGAGCCCTGTTTCATGCTGTACTAGGTGCACCCAGAGGATTTAAGGTCGTGCTGAGACTGCAGCTGCCGATAACAGGAGTCTGCAAATCCCACACCCTTAAAGCGGCACACCTAGCAGTGGATCCAAGAGGAAAAGCTGTATTGGCTCTTGATGACTGCTGAAAATTGAGACTGGGGATCCCGTGAAGCAGCCAAAGCCAACTGGCTGCACTGGAGGAGACTGCGAGATGCTCCGGAGCTCTGAAGCCATACACCATGCAGTTTTCTGACTGATCCACGCTGTGCTGGGAATGCAGTGAAGACAAGCGGCACAGTGTGCAGCGGACCCAAGAGGAAGATCTGCAGTGAATCCTGGTGAGTACTAGGGACTGGGTCCTGAGGCTGCTGTCGTTGGCTAAAGGACATCTTGGAATTGGGCAGAGCCCCTGCCATGGTGACATCAGATAGTTGCCCCTGCCTCAGAGAGGTCTGGTGGAGGACATCTTGGAATTGAGCAGACCCAGCTTGCGGTGACATCAGATAGTTGCCCCTGGCACAGAGAGGTCTCGTAGAGGACAGCTGCGATTTGGGCAGAGCCCTGCACAGTGGTGACATTAGTCAGCTGCTTCTGGTACAGAGAGAACTGGCAGGATCTGCTGGAGCTGAACCACGCCACTGGTTAGGACCCAATAAGCAGATACAAAATAGTCACAACTCTGTGACACCCAAAAGGTACAGCCTAACTTGCAGATTGACTGGCACAGAGGCTGGAGGCTAGCCTGCACTCTCCCTGCATCCCTGCCTACCTCAGATAACAGCAAATTGGGGAGGGTAGCAAAAACTCCAGTCAGCATGCTTTGGAAAGGCCCTAAGCAATACGAAGAGGGCCAGAGACCCTCCCCCACACACATCTGCCTGAAAGAAACCAGAAACATGACAACAGATAGAAATAAAAAAAATCACTAGCTGCCGAACGTGAGAAAATAAGCCCAGGAGAAGTAAACACAGAAGATAATCAGCACAGTAACCATCCAATACTAGACACAGCATCAGCTGAAATAAAGAAATACCTTTATGACCTCATAGATGAATTTAAAACTGTACTTCTGATCCAAGTGAGGCAAGATATAAAGAGATTAATTAAAGAAATGATAAGCCCCACCCAAGAGAACACAAATGGAAGAACAGAGGAAATTAGAAAAGAAAGAGAAACTTCTGATGCAGAATTTAAACATAACCTAGAATACATGAAACAGCTCCAAAGAAGTTAGCAGGAATCTAAAAACTCCATTGAACACTGGCAAAATGCCTTGACAGAAACTAAAGTTAGCCTTTTGAAACTTGAAGAGAGATTTATGATATATGATTGTGAAATAAAATACCTCTTAAAAATAATGAGGAACCAGAAAGAAACAATTCAAAGGTTAGAAGATGACAAAAGGATACATAACATAAGAATAAAGCATGTGAGTGAGGAAGCAGGAGCAACCAAAAATGAAATACAAAGAATATTCACAGATATATTAAAGGAAAACTTCCCAAGCATGGGAAAAAGAAATGATATCCAGATAAATGAGGCATACAGAACTCCAGCTACCTACAACCAAAACAGATCTACACCCTGACATATAATAATCAAAAGAACAGAATACTAAAAGCAGCTAGGGAAAAGAAGCAGATAACCTACAATGGGAAAATTATCCAAATAACAATAGACTTATCAACACAAATAGAGAAGGGCCTGGGGAGAAATAGTCCAAGCCCTGAAAGAAAACAACTTGCAACCAAGACTGATAAACCCAGAAAAACTCTCTCTCAAAATTAATGGAGAAATAAGATGTTTCCAAGACAAGGAGGAACTGTGGGAGTTCATGGCCACCAACCCAACCCTACAGAGAGTGCTGGAAGACATTGCAGAGAGAGAGAGGAAGGGATACCAGGATTCCAGCAACAGTGGCAGAGAGGCCTCAATGAACAGGGCAAACAGTGGAATGAGGGAGTAAGATGGACAAATTATAGCAGTAAAGTGGAATAGCAGACATGAGGCAGAGACAGTAAGCTATAATCTTCAGTTTAGATAGCCTTGATACACTATTTTTAAAAAGGCAGAGGTCATTGTTAATAGTGCATCAGGATTCAAAAGTCACAGTAGTCTTATCACTCTGTTTAGTTTGAATTTATTGTGTTCTGGTCTGTCCACTCATATCAGATATGAGGACACAGACATCTGACCCAAAAATAGCAGGTTATACCATGGTAACTATCCTTAATTTCTTATTAACTTAAACTGAAACCCTGTATTACTTACATTGTCTTACTATGACTGATCTTATTTGAATCTGATTAGTTAGACCCATTTTGCCTTGGCTAATTTTTTTTTAATTTGGTATGCTTGACAGTATCAACCCTAAAAGTAGAGGCAACTACTCTGAAGATGACAAGATGTAAAAGATATCCATACCTGTTTTGATTATTAACAGATCTCAAGTCCTACAATGTTTTTAAAGTTGTGTTTTTTATAAAAATGGCTATGTAATACTATGCTTAACTATATTAATCCTGATGATGTGGACAAGTCTATTGAAAATAACAAGAGAAAGCATAGTAACTATGGTAGATCACCTAATATTGTGGTCTTATGTGTCTATTTCATTGCATGTTTTTCTAGGAATTTTTTTTGCTGTCTCATTATTTGTTTTTCCGTATGATACAGGGAGGATAGATATACATGTAGAAATTCACACATGGGAAGATTTTTTAAAACTTTTTATGGGAACAGATTATATAATACAAGATGTAATGAACAGATGCTCTGAAGAACAGACACTAAGAAACCCAATGCTAATTCTGTAACATTATGATATAAAATCTAGCAATACTATTATTCACTGTTCAGAGTGATTTTAGTCTAGTCTCTTAATTTCAACTTCAGCATATGTAAAAATAAGGACATCTACTATGAAGAGATTGAGAGACACTATGGTAGTTATTATTTTCTTCCCCAATGTCAGATCTTGAAGACCTAAGAAGCCTTCATCATCCTGTAATGATTTTATTAGTTCTATAATATGTAGTATGTATTTAATGTGTGTGAAGATGGGGACAACTATTTGGAAGAAACTAGAGACAATTAGATAAACAGTGAAGATCTTCAGTGGACTTGCTTTGAAATCTGTATTTCTTTAAATTTTTTCTTTTTGAACTGTTTTGTTCTGTTTTGATATGTTTAATCTTACCCTCTTTAAGATTAAAAAAAAGTGTGTAGGACTAATTACTCAGTTTTTGTTAGATCATTGAGCAGAACTATTGGCAGTGTCACTTTACATACTTTAATTTTGTAAACTGAACAACTACTTCTAAGATGACAATATATAACTTATCAAATGGTATTTCTTACTGTTTATTTTTCTGTAATTCTGTATTATTTCTACCCTTTTTTCTCCATGTATTTTTGTTTCTTTCTCTTTAAATTAAAAAAAATAGCAATAATTGGGAAAAAATCCCAGAAATTTAACATAAGAACAGAATAGTAAAGGCTGTCAGAGAAAAAAAAAACAGATCACCTATTAAGGAAAACCCATCAGAATCATGACAGACTTCTCAACACAAACCATCAAATCAAGGACAGCTTGGAGTGAAGTATTCCAAGCCCTGAAAGAGAATATCCTTCAACCCAGATTGATGTACCCTGAAAAACTATCTCTCAAAATTCATGGAGAAACAAATGTTTACATGACAGAGAGGAAATGGGGGAGTTCATGACCACCAATCCAACCCAACAAAAAATACTGAAGGACATTCTAGAGAGAAAAAAAAACCCTATTGTTTCAGGAATAGTGGCAGAGGGGGCTCACTGAACAGGACAGACACTGGAATGAAGGAGAAAGGCAGACAAACAATGACAGAAAAATAGCATGGTAGATATGAGGCAGAGAAGGTGGACCAAAATCACTAACATGGATGGCCTAATAAAAAGAAACAGGCAGAATGGCTCAGGAGATAGGGTCCATCAATATGCTCTATATAAGAAATACAATCTCCGTGCCTGAGCGGCTTCCTGTGGCCGGAGACGACCCTGGGCCTGGCGCTGGGACTTCCCTCGTGTCATGGCCCCCAAGCGCCAGTCTTTGCTCACCCCTCCGACCAAGAAGGCCCGCCAGTCTCCGGGCCCCAAGGCAGCGTCAGCCTCTCCGGGCCTGCCCAAGGGAGAAAAAGAACAACAAGAGGCAATTGAACACATTGATGAAGTACAAAATGAAATAGACAGACTTAATGAACAAGCCAGTGAGGAGATATTGAAAGTAGAACAGAAATATAACAAACTCCGCCAACCATTTTTTCAAAAGAGATCAGAACTGATCGCCAAAATCCCCAATTTTTGGGTAACAACATTTGTTAACCATCCACAAGTGTCTGCACTGCTTGGGGAAGAAGATGAAGAAGCATTGCATTATTTGACCAGAGTTGAAGTGACAGAATTTGAAGACATAAAATCAGGTTACAGAATAGATTTTTATTTTGATGAAAATCCTTACTTCGAAAATAAAGTTCTTTCCAAAGAATTTCATCTGAATGAGAATGGTGACCCATCTTCAAAGTCCACTGAAATCAAATGGAAATCTGGAAAGGATTTGACGAAACGTTCAAGTCAAACACAGAATAAAGCCAGTAGGAAGAGGCAGCATGAAGAACCTGAGAGCTTTTTTACTTGGTTTACTGACCATTCTGATGCAGGCGCGGATGAGTTAGGAGAGGTCATCAAAGATGACATTTGGCCAAATCCATTGCAGTACTATTTGGTTCCTGATATGGATGATGAGGAAGGGGAAGGAGAAGAAGATGATGATGATGATGAAGAAGAAGAAGGATTAGAAGACATTGATGAAGAAGGAGAAGAAGATGAGGGTGAAGAAGATGAAGATGACGACGGAGAGGAAGGAGAGGAGGATGAAGGAGAAGATGACTAATTGAACACTGATGGATTCCAGTCTTCTTGTTTTTTCCTTTTTTTAAAATTTTAATTTTAATTTTCTCCAGTCCCTGGGAGCAAGTTACAGTCTTTTTTTACCCTCTTGTGCTCAGTCACCCTGTTCTTGAGGTCTCTCTTCTCACACACCGTGGTTCTCAACTTTGTGGGGTGAAACCTTGAACGGAACACAGTGGGAAAAGGATCTCTACAACCTTCTGTTCTAAATTCATTTTGATCCCCTCCTGTCTCCACACTCACTTTTGGAATCAACACCACCACCGTGCTCTGTGGGAAAAAAGAAAACCCTCCACTCCCTTCACTCTGCTGGAAGCTGGAGGGGGCTAGGCCCCTGTGTAGTAGTGCATAGAATTCTAGCTTTTTTCCTCCTTTCTCTGTATATTGGGCTCAGAGATTACACTGTGTCTCTATGTGAATATGGACAGTTAGCATTTACCAACATGTACCTGTCTACTTTCTCTTGTTTAAAAAAAGATTAAAAAAAACTTTAAAAAATGGGGTATAGAAGGTCAGCAGAGGGTGGGTTTGAGATGTTGGGTGGGTTAAGCGGGCATTTGACAACATGGCTTTTCCTTTGGCATGTTTAATTGTGATGTTAACAGACATCCTTGCAGTTTAAGATGACACTTTCAAAAATAAAATTATCTCCTAATGAAAAAAAAAAAAGAAATACAATTAACCTTAAAGAGGGTTTATTACTGAATTTCGAAGATGAGAAAATAACGCTCTATATGGGAACCAAGAAAATGTGGTGCTAACTCTCCCTTCAGCTGCAGATTGATCGGAAAGACCTAACACTTTTATACAATGGAAAGCTACTCAGCTATAAGGAAGGAAAACCTTGAGGCTCTTGTAGGTGAATGTATACAACTTGAGACCAAGCTCAAGGGTAAAAATGTTCAGAACCATGTAGGTAAATAGTGGGTTGCCTCCCTAATCTAAAAGCCAAAGCAGTTAGTGGAATACAAACTGTACAATACACCCTGTGAAAGTGAAAGGGGAGGAATTGTCTAAAAAGAGAAGGCAGAGGACATTGTTAATCTTGTATCATGATTTGAAACCCATGTTTTCATCGCTCTGTTTAGTTTGGTTATATTCTGTTCCAATTTGTATACTTATGCTAGATTTGAGGACACTGACAGCTATTCCAAGGATAACAAGATATACTACGGTGACCATTTTTAATTTCTGTTAACTTAATCTGAAGCCCTGTCTGTATTGCTTTCAGTGCCTTTTTTGACTAATTTTATTTGAATCTGTTTTGTTTGATTGCACTCTTGACTGAATTTATTCGAATCTGTTGTTTGATAGTATCAAATCTGAGAGTACAGGCAACTACTCAGAAGGCAATAAGATTCACTATGATACCCATTATGGTTTGACTATTACCTACTTTTGAAGTCCTATAATGCCTCCAATGTTTTGCTTTTATTGGTTTTGTTCTGTACTGCTACGTTCAATTTTATTGTGCCTGATGATATGGGTAATTCTATGAAAGATAACAAGAGACATCATGGTAACCATTGTAGATCACCTTGTATTTTGGTTTGAGGTCTTATATTGTGTCCATGATTTTGTTTTGACCTGACTCCATTTTGATTTTTTTCTCATTTGGTTTTATTCTCCCCAAAATAAAATAAAAGGAACAAAAGAAGGGTTGAAGGGACAGCAGGGGAATGGAAAAAAAAGAAGAAACAAGATATATCATGTACAGGTACAAATTTCCTATGATGAATGTTATCATTATGTATATCTAAAATTCACCAATGAAATAAAAAATTCAAAAAATAAGTATCCTGCCAGACATGATGGCTCACTCCTATAATCCCAGCACTCGGGAGGCTGAGGCAGGAGAATTGTTGCGAGTTTGAGACTAGTCTGGGCTACAAAGTGAGCTCAAGGCCAGCCTAAACTGTAGTGAGACCCTGCTCAAAAAGACAAAAAAAGTATCCTTCTTTAATCATAGTAATATTCTTTGTCTCCAAAACTACTTTGATTCCTATAAATTTAGCAGTTCCAAGTTTCTTTCCACTAGAATTGACATAGTATAGCTTTATCAAACTTTTAAATTTTGTTTAACTTGTTCCTTTAAAACTAAGTACAGATGGAGGGATGGAAGAGGAAAGAGAATGGAGGGGAAAGAAAAAAAGAATTAAGATGAGTTATGTACATGTACCAACTGCACATTTTAAATGTAATCATTATGTACTGCAAACGTGTACTAATGAAATTAAAATTAAAAAGTCAATAGATATTTACTTAAATTGGAAATCAGAAGATTTCTCTGTTCTGAATTAATTTGTCTTTGAAATATTTCAATAAATTGTTTTCTTTCTTAAAAAATAAAAATAAGTGCATATATTTGGTTGGAGATGTGACTCTGAAGTAGAGTTCTTTCATTGTATGTGCAAGGCCCTGGGTCCAATCTCTAATACAAAATCAAAAATGAACCAAGTGTGTTTTTATAAAGAAGGATGTGGTTATGTCATGCATCTCAGCCCAATATGCCAACCTATGACTTTAAATTGGGGAATTCAGATAAATTGCATTTAATGTCATTATTGCCCCAATTTGGTTTGAGTCTAGTGTCTTTTTATTTGTCCCATCTGTTTTCCTTTTCTCTTTTTTTCTGTGTTCTTTTCATTAGTGGAGTATTTTTCTGATTCCATTTTATATTCTTTGCCAGTTTATTACCTATAATTTTATTTTATTATATTAGTGCTTGTTGTAGGATGCATGTTGTTCCTCCTTTTATTATTGTGGTCTACATTCAATTCATATTACATCACTTCTCACAATAACATGATATTTTCCCCTTCTAGCCTTAAGTCCATTCTCTACTATATATTTTGTTCTAACATGTATTATGAACATTATAGTACATTCTCTTTAACAATCAAATTCCTTGTAAAACATTTTAAAGAATAAAGATTTTTTAAAATACATTTATCTTTTTGTTACTATTTCTGGCCTTCATTTCTAGATGTAAATGTATATTTCTATGTAGTATATTTTCCTTCTTTATGAAAGAGTTTCTTTAATTTTCATATTGTATAGGTTTTCTAGTAATGGATTATTTTAGCCCTTGTGTATCTATAAAATATCTTTATTTTGCCTTAGTTTTGAAAGATACTTTTAAGAAAACCAAATATAAAATTTAATGTTGACATTTTTTCTTTCAGAACATTAAAGATATATCTTCACCGTCTTGTTACTTTGCTCCCAATGAGAAATGTTATCTATGTTTCTCTGTATGTAACATCCCTTTTATCAGTTACTGCCTTTAAAATGTTCTCCTTTGGGGGCCGGGTATAGCTCAGTGGCATAATCACCTGCCTGGCAAGCGAGAGGTAGTGAGTTTGATCACAAAGATTTTCTCTTTTTCACTGTTTTTAAGCAATTTGATTATTAATATGCATTGGTGTAGCTTTTCTCACTTTTCTTGTGCTTTTGGTTAATTTATATTCTTGGTTCTATGAGTTTGTACTTTTCATCAAGTTTGAAAAATTTCATCCATTAATTTTTCATTTTTTTGGTCTTCTCTTTTGAAACTTTCACTTATCCATCCACTAGTCACTTGAAATTGTTCCACAGTTCACTGACACTTTTATAACTTTTTAATATTTATTTTTATCACTGTGATTTATTTTGGATAACTTATATCACTATGCCATTCAATACACTAGTCTTCTCTTCTGCAAAGTCCAATCTACCATTAATTCTATCCATCATATTTTCCATCTCACAAATATTAGTTTTTGTTTCCAGAATGTCTACTTGAATTTTTTGTTAGATTCTATTATTCTGTGTAACTTTCTGAACATATGGAATACAGTTATAATGGCTATTTAAATGTCCTTGTCTGCTAATTCTTGCATCTCTATTAGTCTTAACACAGTACTGTTTTTTCTTGTCAACATAATTAATGTGTGTGATTTTTTTCCATTCTTTGCAATTTTTAATTGCAATACTAGCTAGATATTGTGGACTTTTTAATTGCATACTAGCTAGATATTGTAGACTTTTTAATTGCATATTAGTTAGATACTGTAGACTTTACCTTGTTTGGTATTGATATTTTTATATTCTTATAGACATTCTTTCATTAGTTCTAGGACATACAATATGGCTTATGTCTAGATGTGCCCTCAAAGCTTTAAGCAGTCATAGGGATTCTTTGGAGGTGGCTGAATCTAGAGTGTGTGGCTGATTGGGAGTGCAATACTGGGATTAAGGATCCTGGGATTAAGAGTGGGTGATTGCTGGATCAGGCCACTGATTGAATCCCAGCAGACCGGATACAATATAAGAGATAAAAAGATGCTTTTCTCTCTCCCTCTCTCTCTTTCCCTCTCCCTCTCTCTCCCTTTCCCTTTCCTTCCCTCTCTGTCCTCTCCTTCTTGCTCTCCCTCTTTCTCTCTCTCTCTCCCTCTCTTCCTCTCTTTGTTCCCCCTCTCCCTCCCCCTTCCCTCCCCCCTCCCCCTTTCTCCCCTCTTGTTGCTTTGTTACAGTCTGGCCACCATGAACTGTTCTCTTCTGCTAAGCCAGCCTGCCTTAGAGCCAGCTGATTATGTACTGACAGAACATTTCCTCTAATTTGGGGCATTGAGTATTTTGTTTCAACGATGAGAAAAATAACTAAGACGGGCATAATTAAGGTACTTGGAAATAGTTTGATCCCTTTGCATTACACTTTTAATTTTGTTACAGAACTAAAATAGTATATAATTGAACTCTGTTTTCCACTAGTGAAGCTACATTTTGTGTTCTCTACCTAATGTTCCATGATTTTTGAGGTTTTCTAGTGTGGCTGGTAGAAAGAGGCATTATTTTTGATCCTGCATTTATCCTAGACACTGTTAATTCTAATTATTTTGGGTGATTCACTACCTAGACTTGGACACTTTCCTCATATATATGATATGATTTGATCAGTTCTCAACCTGAATGCTGAGGGAAATCTTTGTAAATATATGGAGTTTTACCTCTGTAGCTGTCTCTTATCTGTTACTCTCTCTTGCATATGCTAACCAACTTTGTCTCCTGAAATTCAGTCTTGTCCCTTCAATGAACTACAGCTCAGAAAGCTTCTCAGGGCAATGCACTGGGACAATCTTTAGGTTCACTTCATTTGTTTTTAGTTACTCAGGGTTCACTGTTCTTCATTACTTTATCTCTGGACCTGCAGTGTCTTCAAAACTATTTCATATATAGTAGTCAAAATGTTTTTTGTCGTCTCAGCTGTGAAGACAAATCTGATGTTTTTGCTTTATATTGTCTACAACAGAAAAAGAAATATTTGCTTTAACTGAGGTGTTTTACATGCAACAATATGCACTATTCATGTGTGTTCAGTTTAATTATTTACATGTGTACAATTACCAAACAGATCAAGATATTAAACTTTAGAGCACTCCTAAAAATTTCTCTTATTACTGTGTTTTATTAAAAGGTAGCTATTTTGTGGGTTTTTTGAAACTTAAAAAATCTTATGTTAGAGACTCTGAAGGAGCCTGAGGCAGGAGGATTGCTATGAGTTCAAAGCCAGCCTGGGCTACATAAGAGAGTCCAAGGTCAGCCTGAACTACATAGTGAGACCTCGCCTCAAAAAAAATCCAAAAAACAAAGTATTACTTATTGCCAAATGGGTATACACCTATCATCTTAGCAATGTG